TATTCATCAAAAACTTCAACTTTCTCTAACATGCTAGGATATTTTCCACATACAATACACCGATTACTTACGAAGACTAAATTATTGATTGACCAAAATCTGGCATCCTCTCTTATTGATCTGATTTGAATAGAAAAGACCGCCGCCGCCGCCGCGAATCCAGCTCGCAGGAGGAAGAGGTCATCGACGGTTTCGCCATAGCCAGCTTTAGCACGCTGGAGGCGCTGGAGGTGGGTGAGCGCCGGAGACCCTCATCCCACACCTCGCACTCGGACCCTGCCTCGTGGGAACCCGGAGGGAGGGGTCCGTGTGCAACGCCTAGGCCCAGGGAGCGGGGCGGTGCTGGACTTTGGCAGGTTGTGACAGCGTGTGCACTTGAGTTCTTCCCAATCGCCCCCACTTCAGGGTTTTGCTTAGAGCAGAGAGGGTATAGCTCTGAGTATCTCTTGGTGAAGGTGCTCGCCCCAAGGGTAGTAAGTTGCCAAAAAATATTGTCTGTCTGGGTGATCTATCCCGGACATTTTACGCAGCAAATATTGCCCTTTTCGCCTGGATACAGGTGAGTAGAGAAGGAAAAGAGAGGTGGGTGGGGTATCCCTGTCTCTGTCAAACACTCCTGGGTGGAAATGCTGGCCAGGTGCTGGGGGGTGGGGTGGGATATGATCCCAGGAACTAGACCTCCAGTTAGGAGAGCCCCGTGCAGCACTTTCTCTGGGAGCGTCCTTGTCTGCTGGACTCTGAGTCGCACCTCCATCTCAAGGCTAAGCTTTGGAAAAAGGAAAGTGGTCCCTGCAGGTCCCTGAAGAGAACATCCCAACTCTAGGGTCTGCTGGCAGACTCTAGGTCAGGTGCTGGTGTGAGGGATGATCCTGGTTGTGTGGTGGCAGGTATGCTTCATTCTGCCTGGACAGTAGATGTGCAGAGGCTAGGAACAGTGTCTCATAGCCTGTGCCCCCTATAATGCCCAGTGGTTTTCATTGTGCACACTGAGGAGCCTGAAATGGATGCTGGGCCTAGGAAGCTCCAGCGAAGGAAGGCGAAGGCCTTTGGTGGACTATGGTGGCCCCATCTCCAGCATTGATATGTGCTAGGGCTCTGCCGAAGATGACAGTCTAGGGTTTTCTGTCTCACTATAGTGACAGCTTGGAGTTGCCTAAGCACTTATTACAAGCAGGACTCTGCTAGCCCCTGTGCTGCTTGAGAGAGTCCATCAGGTGCTGCCCTAGACTCCATGTCTGTTCACTTGCCTGTCCCAGGAGGAACTGACACCCCAGCCCAGGTTGGCACCTTCACTGTGTCCTCTCTGCCTCACACAGTCTGGTTCTGTCATCACTGTGGACTTGGTTGAAGGGCCACCCCTTCACCCAGCGCTCGGGTTTACCTGCTCTGCTGCTTGTCATCCTTGCCCCTCAACTTCTTACCCCAGGACCCCGTCAGCTGGCACTGCGCCTGTCAACCATGTCCCCCTTCAGGCTCCCAGTGCCCAGGGTAGAGCTCACATAAAGATTGTCCTATACAGAGGGAGGGTGGGAGGGACCATGGTCACTGCCAGAGTTTGGACCAGCCCTGCCAGCTCACCATGAGGCTCACCTGACTCTCCTTAGCCGTTGAGGGCGACCTTACTCACCTCTCTGCCCTTCTGAGCCTGCCTAGGAAAGTACAGGACTTTGCAGCAGCTCATGACTCTAGATCCCTCGGAAGGGTTTGGATTGGTCCTGTTTCTTGCTGAAGTGTAGTGTATTTCCTCTGGGGTTCAGATAATTCATGATGACATTGGTGGTGGTGAGTGATTTTGTGATTCAGCCCACCAACCTGTCTTTACAGACATGATTTCTTCACTCAGGTGACCTAGAGAGAGGCCGGTGGCCTCCACTCCATAGATGGGAACACTGAAGCTCAGTGTACCAAGTGTGAGGCACACAGCCAGGGAGTCATCCACCAGCCTGCTTTCTCAAGTGTGGTCACTGTTCTGCAGGACCCTGTGGGTCCCTCTCAGGGAGGGAGATGCTGGCCCCAGGTTCAGGGTTCGCAGGACCCCCGCCCAGAGGCAGAGCCTGCCTTACCTCCTGCCACCTGCTAGCTCACAGTGAGTGCACCCAGGCCTGGAGGCTGGTCCCACCTTCAGATCTCCAGGGGATATGACACTGTTGGTGACATTGCCCACGTTAGAGAAGCCAGTGTAGCACCAGTGGCAGGTGTGGCAGGTGTACACTTGTGAAGGGTATCTTTTAAGCAGAAGAGGGTCCCATACTTAGAGTATGGCCTGTAGAATGTTGGTGCAGGCCTTGCTCCAGCTCCCTGTGCCCAGTAGCTCTTCCACCCCTCTGCACACTTGTGTTTGCCCCTGGAGGGAAGTGGTCCCTGCCTCTTTTGCACATGAGAGGAGCAGTAGCTGCTCCCCAAACATTTCAGTGGTGGGTGTCAGCTGAGGGGGGCAAAGTGGCTATTATTGATCCACAGAGGTCTGTGGTAGAGCTGAAGGGTGCAGAAGGGATGGGCAGGCGGGGGCTCTGCAGAACTGAACGTGGTCGCCTTAAACGTTCTGTTTATCTAAGGGGTTGGGGGATCCAAGGAAGCAGGGGAACTTGGGAAGTGGCTCTGCATTGCTCCTCTTCTCTGTGAGTGCTCTGTCTGGTCATACTGACGAGCAGTGACTAGAGAGATCCCCCAAGGGCAATGTTGTGGCCTGCTCCTGCTGGCTGCCCTCTCTGCCTTAGGGATATGTGACCCACACAGAGTCCAGCACTGTGTGCAACACAAGCGGCTGCCCTCAGGCCACAGAACAGGCTGTGCTGGTCCCTATATCTCGCAGGATATGGCCAGGGCCTGCTTTCCTACCAGACATGTGCATCTTCCATGGAGGAGGGGTGGCTCAGCACCTTCAACCTCAGGAGGACTATGGCCACAGTGCTCTGGCTATGCAGCTGGGGCTGGCTATGCTTGGGCACTTCTACCTCTGGGTGCGGGTGGCGACCATCTATTTTGGCATCTGTTGGATTTTTTTTGTTGATGTTAATTTACCTGTTTCAAAGAGCAAATTGCTTTACCTACTTCAAAAGTCCAGCTCTGTGGAAAGGTGGATGCTGCAGAGTTTCAGCCCCAGTTCAGCCTCCCACAGGTATAAGGTCTTTCTGGAGTTCTGGAGACATAGCCAGACCCAGGTGTGCCATCTACCCAGAAGGGAGTCTTTCCTTACAGTGGAGATATAGCCAGTTACAGGTATGCTGTCTACACAGAAGGGAAATTGTTCCTTTAATAGTAGAGGTGTAGCCAGACACAGGTTTGACATTTGCCATCTGTGTGGGATGGTTCTTTCTCTGATCTGTGGATTGTACCAGAGAGGGCTAAAGGTGGAAAGGAAAACACTCAGAGCCACTGTGCTGGCTTTCCAAGGCTCCAAGACAAGGAGCTGAGCATATACCAACAGCAGACTGGACCCCTGAACAGTGTTAGCCCAGGTGGGGGTGCAAGCTCTCAGGCGCAGCTGGAGTTCCCACCCTGGGCCAGGTCCTGGGGTTCAGCTCAGTGGACTCCATGAGCCCTAGGGGGCCAAGTGGGCACTTTACAGCACAGTTTAGGGACCCAGGGCATGGGATCTGGGTGGAAGTGTTAGCAGGTGTGTAAGGAGCTAGGACGTTGCCCACCCAGCACTGTCCACATCAGGAGTGATGGTGTCACTTTAGACCTCTACTTTTGTTCTGTTCTTGGGGGTCCACATGCCTGGGCCTAGTTATCCCATCCTAGAGGGCCAGGAATGGGGTCTGAGGTATGATCTACTCTCAAGTCTGAGCCTCCTATCCAGAGCACTTCCTCCTCATTGCCTATTGCTCTTCAGGTGGAGCAACTGAGGCCCAGATAGGGTAAGTGCTTTACCTTCAGTCCTGGCCCCTGCACTGGGACATATCACGCTGTCCAGAGGCAGTGTTGACTTTGTCCCCAGAAGGTCTCAGGGTGGTGGTGTGGAGCTGATCCCTCCAAGAGGTGGATGGACACAGAGGATATGGAATCAAAGCCAGCCCTGGTCCCTCAGCCTGTGTCAATGTCCACATACCCTGGGCTGCTTTGACTGGTCCCCTGCAGCTCTGAGAACCCTGCTCCTGTGCCCCTCCAGCTCTGGGGCCTGTCGCTTCATGGCCCTGGCTTCCAGATCTCCCAGATCCTTCCTGCAGCCACACTTGCCTGCCTGGGTCCCTCATTCTTGCTGGGCAGCCTTCACTGTGGTCTTCCCTATCTCCCGGCAGGCCACCCTGCTCTGCTTGTGCCCTCCAAGGGTCAGTCTTGCTCACAGATGCCTCTCCTCTGCAGAAGGTTTGCACCCTGGGATACTTATGGAACCTGATGGGGTTCCTATATTTACTGTTTTGTTATTTTGTTATACCGGTAGAAACTTTGTTTTCTAAGTGGTGGTAGTTCCTAGGAAGAAGCCCTTTTCTTGCTTGTTAGTGGCATAGATGTGATTTCCTGAGGTTTCTGGAGGATTGTTGGGGTTACTGTGGCCATCTGGCTTCTGTGAGGAGCTCCAGCATTGCTGCTCTTCTCCCTGCCATGCCATGGTTCCATTTCAGATCTTACCGCATTGTAGCACTTCCAGACTGGGGATGGACAGCACTGTGTGCAGGCATCTGTGTCCCTTCCCTCCCTACTGTTCTCAAGCCCTGGTGTGCAGCTTCTCCAGAAAACATCTGCCTGGGCCGCACTTACGGTACCAGGCCACAGAGCTGTTGTGTACTATCACTGTCCCTGGCTGCAGAGTGGCTGTGCTCAGCCTTGTGCTGGAGTGTGCACGCTGCTTGCCGAAACAGGAGGTTTGCTACCATGACCAGGTATAGGCAACCTATGCTGTCCTGTTCAGCTGACCCTTCATCAGGTGGGGAGCCTAGAAGTACAAGAATTGTGTGTCTCCTCATAGGGCTGAAGACAGAGTCTTCAGGTCCTGGGATATAGCCCTATCCCTTGGTGACTGGTTTAGTCAGCACGGTTTAAGGTGGGGCCACAGGCAGCAAGGAAGAGGACTAGACCCCTGGCTGAGAGCAGGAAGGAGGTAACTTAGCAAATCAAGGACAGAATGGTAGACAGGGTGGGCCTGGCCAGGTGTTAGGGGTCAAGAGGCCCCTCGACCAGGGGACCTGTGAGCTAGGGCAAGAAACTGACCATGTGCTGGGCCTCAGGCAGATACAGCCTGGGGGGCAGGGTCACAGGTGGTCTCAGAGGAGCCCAGCCCATCCAAGTC